AAAGATAAATAAGATACATTTTTAAATAATAAACAGCATGCCTTCCTCAACTGTGAGATTTCTTCTAAAAGCCGATAGATTATTATCCACAAGTTGATCTTCTAAAATTAATCCAGTTTAGTGTGAGGTTTTTTGTTCTATTGGCTCAAATATTTTTAAACATCAAAGCACTGAAAAAAATACAAGGAACCAGATTATGTCATCCTGACTCACTGAGTCCCATCACCTGCAAGAAGACCCAACAGAATTCAATTAGGCTACATGTGAAGCGACATACTTCTCAGTATGTGTAAGCAGAGAAGTCCTACAGGATGATGAAGCAAGGTCACTTATCTCCATCTTCAGCTGTTAGCAAGAGAAGCTATTCAAACATTCCTCCTCCATAGCCTTGAGTAAGTCTATAGGATAAGGCACTCTTTCTTTTTTCTTTTTTAAACAAAACAAGACAATATTGTCACTTAGCAAAAATAAATTTTAAAAAAGGCCTAATCTCTGCAAACCACAGATTTTTCTTCCAAAGAAAAAGAAGAAAATTACCCTGCTTCTTGCTGATCCACCCCATAGTGTTCCAGCTCTGTGCCTGGAAGTGGCTGCACAGGAGGGGGTGGGAGGGGAACACTGGCCCAGTTTGAACCATTGTTTTTCTGGGGCTTTGCAGTATTTTTGTTTTTCTTTTTTTTCCCTCCTTTGCCACCTGCAAATCCAAAAGAGAAAAATAAAATGTTAGAGATATAATATGTGAAAAACAGCTAGCTATTTACATTCCTTTGAAATAATTCTAATCCCAGATGGTATGCCCCAAAAAAGAAGATGTATTTATATCTCAGCAGAATCAGCATCAACGTGCTAATGCTGTTACAATGTTATAAATAATAATAGAATGGAAAAATTATTCTGAATAATTGCTGAAAATCACTTCTTTTTAAAACTCCATACATTTGCACCACAGTAGTGCACAGCCAAGGAAAGGCATGTTCTGCTGTATCAGAAATATATTTACTGATTTATTCATGTCTGGTTTATGACTTCTTGAATTCACTGTTAGATAAAAATGTAATAGACCATAGCAAATGATTTCAAATGTCAGAATCCAGTGTGCTTATCCAATGTGATTATGTTTTGCATAATCTCTTTCTGTGGAAAATGCAGAGGTTAAGGACAAAATCTAAAAAAAATTTCATTAGACTCAATAACTTTCAGCCAGAATGACAAGTGTAGGTTGTCAAAGCAAAAAGAAACGGAGTTTTGCCGACAGGAATGTACTAAGTTCCATTTTTTAAAACATCAGGAAGTAGTCTGTAATGTTTTCACGGGATTCAAGTATCTTGTTCCAGTATGGAGAAGGGGTTCTGTTTCTCCTGTACGACCAATGGAGGAGGCTAGTCGAAATGAGGTGAGCAATGCATTTTGCTTAAGCCTTCTTCTCTTGTCTTACCATCCTTGTACCCGCTTCTCCAGTTGAGACACTTCCACTTGTGGCAGTGATCTTACAGTTAAAGTTCTCTTCCTACTTGTTTTGCTTCTTTTATTTTGCCCTGACTGCTTTTTCTTGTTAGGAATTCATTAAGAGGAAGAATGGCACAACATTTCGAGTCCCTTGACTGCTTGGAGACCCATCTATTTACTGTTATTTTGTTGTGGCTGTCAAACTCTCTGGATCATTGGGTGGAAGAATGGTTTGTCATATGCTTTCCAGTGGGGTACCCAGCTGGCAGTCACGCGTCCCTTGCCCGTTGCAGAAAGCACAGTCTAATCCAACTTACCTGCTGACATCACTTGCTGATTTACAAAGATAAGCCAAAACCAAAACCCCATGTAAAAAGTTCTTAACAGTAATGAAACAAAAAAGCCACCACTGACTTGTAAGGCACAGTGGCACGGTGTCCACTGGCAGGCACCACCCTCTTTGCCACGGCTCTAGCTTTAGGCAGAGGCACCCAGAAGGTGCAATTCTAGCAGAGACAAGCTCTTGGCACAGGACTTTTCGTCTGAGAGAAAGTGGTTTTCTTCTGTTAGCTCCAAGTATCAGCTGGATCAAAACAGGGACGAATAGAGAGGGAAGAAACAAGGTGATTCTAGGATTCAGAAGTAGCCAAGACTTCTCTTTTTACCCTCTGTCGTGGCTGTTAGAGACAGGCAACAAGGTTTCTAATCAGCCTAGCTGGCAGCATGCTGCTAAGACTTTGCTTTCCACTACTCAATTCCAGACCAGAGCTCTTCCTTCCTTGTCTTGGAGTATTTATAGCAAGTCCAGCCAAGATCCTGTCATTCACTATGTGTGAACTGAGCTGATATTCCATCTATTAGGATGCAAGACAGGCTCTTCCCGCCTTTTGTAGCCTGGAAGGCTTTCTTGAAAAGGGAAAGAACATTCAACAGAAAAGAAACCCCAGAGGTGGTGGCAATGGAGGAACAAATACAAGAAACTTCTGGAGGGAAAGGAAGCTTTCAAAGCACAGGTATGGTGCAGTTAGAAATAGGGTCACAGAACAGCGCAAAGGAAGTACATTTATTTAAATTTGTGGGACATAGGGGAATTTCTGAAAAGCCAGCAGGAGTAGGAGCCAGCAAAAGCTAAGGCAGGAGGGGCTGCTTCGGGAGGACAGCACATGCATAACAGAGAGAGGGGGTGTGTGTGGGGGGGTGGATTTGTCTAGGAGTAATCAGAGAAGAGAAATGCAGAGAACAACTTCAGCTTAGAGTTTAGCGGTAGTGGAGAAAGGAGATCTTGGAAGTGTAGCATCTTGCTGACCTTAAAAGACTGGTAAAACAGAGGGTGGAGGTATGGGGTGCTAGTATGGAGTCAATGGGATTTGGGGGGCTTTGAAGAGAAAGGTCAAAGATAATGGAGCTATTAGAAAGAGTGAAGCAGAGAGCCAAGGAACTGTTTGCATGAAGAAATAGAAGAAAGGAATTCCCAGGTCATTACTGGTAAGGAAAGCAGCCTACATCATATGGTTGGACTGGAGACTTCTCTTCTGTCCCCATGGGCAGAGTTACTCCCCCATCAGACTAGTGGAACAGACACCCAATACAGAATGTCTGATGTGTGTTTGAAAACTGCTGCATAGAAGCCTTGTTTCCCCAATGTTTCAACGTCTCCTTACACTGAAATTCAATTATATTGTTTAAACCTCTAGATGAATCAAGTCCTGGAAAAAGAATTTGCCAGTTGGGCTGATGATCATAGCACTGACATAAGCTGGGAGCTCTGCAAAGTACAGCCACAAAATCTCCCTCCCTCACAACGCAGTTGAGTTTTTAGCTATTTTCCATTCCACAGTGGGACAGGATTTCTCATGATATTCATTTGAAACAGCCAGAAATTTAGTCAGAATAATAAGTAGTACCTGAAGTACTAACCAAGGAAGTGAGAGAACAAGTCCCGGCTCACCCCGATGGGGACTAGGTAATCAAAGCTGGTCCCTGACTCCAGTGATGCTCTCATTAGCAGACTATTTGAAGGTTTCCCCCAGTTTGTCATATATTACAGACATAATTAGCCTGTATTAAAGACATAATTAGTGGGCAAAGGAGAGCAAAATACTGACTCTGCAGTCCAACAGTCTGACGCTCATCTGAGCATAGGGGCATCCAGGTGTGAGCTGCTTCGATCACAAGAGGAGTGCCTTGGCCATAGGAGGACTGGCTCACCTGAAGTCTCCGTGTGTTATCAGAAATTCTACTTCAAACTGAGAAACTACACGAAATGTGGTTTACTTGAAAGATTTGTTCAAAGTCCAGCTTTTGATCAACTGGCATTTTCCAACGAAACTTTGTATTTTCTGAGAAAGTTCGCAGGCAGCTGTAGCTGTCAACACATCTCAAGTGTGATACTGCCCTCTGAGAACTGGCACCTTCACGTATCCATTTCTCCATTTTCATGCAGTCAGAAGAGCAAGCCAGCTTCCTGAGCTACTTGCCAATACATCTCACATACAAGGAACAAGAACCTTTCCTGAAGTCTGAACCTAGCTCCCAGACACCTCTCTGTCAATGCCATAAGCCTATTTTTCTGTCTCACTCAAAACAACAAATCCTCCCCACGAGAACACAAGTCTTGCAAATACATTTGGCTATTTGAGTTATGGGCCAATGATTACAGGCTTCTAATCTCAACATTCAATTTGAATTGTCATTTCAATTGACAGAAAGAAGCCTTTTATAGGGTTGATCTGTTACTGTCCCAATTGCTCCAACTTACAGCGGAAAATCAAAAGGCAATGGCTATAGTATGAATTCAAAGTTGAAGTCCCTTCAGCTCTCTCCTCTTTCAGTTAAGCGAAATAGCAGACTTTCATTTTAATTGCTAGCTTTTCAGTTTTTGTCTTGATTAAAAAACAATGACATGGTTATACATAACATAAGCAACACGAAAGCAAAATTAAAGAAATCAAGAAAAAGGTGTGTTTATATATAACACACAACCACAGGTACTACAGTCATCTTCATCCAACGAAAATGCGTCATGTTTCCAATATAACATGCAGCACACACATAAAATTTACACTCTGTTTGTATGCAGACTTGGCACAATTTTTGAAACCCTAGTCATCTCGCACGGTCCTACATTTGTTTCTGAGCTGCTTCACCGAAAAACAGCATTTAGAAACAGCTCGTGGGAGTGGGGAATCTGTTAACAACTCAACAAAAATATTCATCTCCTCATGAAGTTCAGCGTGGAGAGAACTATACACTAAGGACTGATGCGGAAATATAAGTGCTCTATGAACTGTGCTGTCAGGGAGAGGATGTGACGAGGCAAGGTTTGTGACTGTGCCGACAAGCCCTGGTTGGGAGGATTCTCCAGTTATCTCCAAACAGGTTTTGCAAAAGGCATACTTGGGGGTTTTTTTAGTAGAGGTCGATGTGACTCTGTTCGCTGGCGTTCCAGCAGGCAGGCATCCTCATATCTATCTGTAAAGCGCACCCAGGAGGTTCTCACCTCCCGGGCCAGCTGCTCACCGCCACCCCTCCGTCCCTCACCCACCCACGGCGGTGGAACCAACCTGAGAGGCTGCCGCTCCTTTCAGAGCTGTTGTGGGAGCTGGTGGTGCTGAAATCCTGTGACTGGTTGTGTGGCAATCTATTAGCCAGTCCCTCAGCCACGCGGTAGTCAGGGATGTAAAGCAAGGCTGAGGGTTAAAGGCAAAGGTCACAGTGGCATCGTGTGATTAGTTGACAGCACAAGCACATGCAACACATGCAGTTAGCAAGTCAATGGCGGATGTGGTGGGGCAGCAAGCTTTACTTTATTTTTTTCAAATGTCTACCTATCCTAGCCTAATGGAAGGCAGATGGCTTGGTGACTGGCACAGGACAAAGAGGATTAAAAGCACAGAACAATATATTTTGTGACTGTGTGAGGTTCAGCGGGCATGCGAGGTACGTAAGCGTTAGTTAAATACAAACAAGTGTCTCACATACTAAAGAGATTTTTCTGATTCATGCATAGATGGGACAGTACAAAGCCAAGCTCTCTGGAAAATAAGAGCTGTAATTACCATTGTTGCCTTTGCCTTGGTCTGGGAGAGAGTAACCAAATCCCATCAGGTCATTCTTCTGCTGGATGGAGCTTTTCCACTGAGGATCAGGTAAGTCGACAGCCAACTCGTGGATGCTGTTGGAATGCAGGATCTGGGTGGTGGCATATGGCGTGGCTTGTGTTATTTGGCTGGAACTGTTGTAACTAGTTTTTGTGGTGAAGTCAATGCTGCTGTAAATGGCTCCATCAGAAAGCATAGTAGCAGTTTTATCTCCTTGCCCTGGCACTGGTGGCAGCACATCTGTGGTGAACATAGGGGAATGAAACAAATCATTGGTGCACAGGAAGCCCAAAAGAATCAAGGTTTAAGATGAAAAATAAACGTGTCATTTTGCACGTTTGCATTTCAGCTAAGACAGGTCCATGAGCCAACGAAGGGAAGATGATGTACAACCATCGCCAAGCTATCAGCATCTGTGACAGGCCTACCACTTGTCCTTCACGTCTCGCTGCCTAAAACCATCTTTTTTTTGTTTTTTTTTTTTTTTCTCCATACTTTCAACTGTGAAAGTGAAGTTTGGAATATTTCTCTCCTGAAGAATGTTTTCAATTGTTCACTCTGTGTCAGAACTGTCTGGGCTTCAGGGAAATGTTGAAAGGAATGAATCTACAAATCACAGATGAAACTTTCCCAGTAAATATGTAGCAAAATTCTTAAATGGATGCCAAAGCTCTCAAAGTAATTTTTAAGTGCATCACCTTGACTTCCTTGAAGTTTTATGCATCAGTGTATGTAATTTTCTTTTTGACATTAGCTACTGCATTTCTCCTTTTCAACAAAAGAGAAACCTGACAAAATCAAGTTGTTCCTGATACGTGAAGGAAAATCTGTTATTCTGAAGGGATTTAAGCGATCAGTCTTTTAAAATGGCAAAGTGGTGTGATAATAGAGAACAACTTGTTCAAATACTCCAGTGCATTTACCTGAAAAACAGTACAGAATATTTAACCAAGTACGTTGACTTTTCTACATCTTTTGAATCCTATTGTAAGCTGCAATTTGTAGGTTTAATCAGTTGGATTGGCAATCTCTCTCCTTACTAAACATTGTAGTGACCTTTGCTGGCGGGATACTAGATTTAGAAGCTGAGACCACTGAAGTGTGAAGAATCTAATTATGACTGGCATGATATCCCAAGGAGAACCACAGCTCAGCAGATAACCCTCTTCCTGCTCTCTCAGAGGTCAATATATCAAACAGTAGTATTTTTACAATGAAAAGTTGAATCCATTCTGGAATTTACTCATTAGAAAAAAAAATGTATCATTTATTTGTTGTTTGCTTTACATAGCTGCATGGTAGATATGGATTCCAACTGTTACATCATACCTAAGATAATGCATCCTCCTACACTAAGGATGTTCAGATCTCATTCGAGCTATCACAGACACTTTTATATACCTTAAGCCCCAGAGAGAAAAGATGATTCTTGCACCCAGACAAGGGTTTAGGCTCAGTTGCAGACTAAGAACTGTGTTTTGTGCAATCTCAGGGAATACAGTTGTTCTCTCACTATCTCAATACTGTCTCAGCAATGAGATATGATACCATGGACTCCTCCCACTGGTTGGTTTTTGTTCTGTTGTTTGTTTGTTTTCCAGGGATGAATATTTAGACCACAGAATTGTTTTCTATTGCATTCATGTGTGCAACAGTGAACATTTTGATACAGACCCTAAAAACATCTGCAATCTCAGGGCAACAACATAACAGTAACAATAAATATGGCAAGGACAAGTGCTCAGTAGAGAGGCTGCAGAAACAGAACTTAAATTTGGGTCTAGTGGTATGATCTGGTGTTGCAGACAACAGCAACAGGGAAATGGGCACCATCAAGTATTTAAAATGCCTTAATTGTATTAACTTCTATCTGCAGAGAAATTGTAAGTGTAAAAAAAATTACAGTGAATGTAAATTACAGGTCATATTTTAAAATTAGGTTATTACCATCTATGTGCACATATCGAATGTGCTTTCTAGGGGCAGTACACAATCATAAAAGCAGCTATGTGCAAATACAGTATGAGAGACAGGCAGAGTCCTAGCTTCGTTGCATTTCATCCACAGTATGAAGATTCTTCTTTTCCACAATTGGTTTCATCTAAGTATAATGGATTGAAGTTTAGTAAATAAATTCTGTTGTTGATGTATAAAATGAACTAAGTCCAGCACAACGTGTCTGTGTTGGATTTGCAGAATCATGGAAATACAAACTAGCAAAATGCTCACCTCTCAAGTACTCAGACATATTCTCTATTTTATAGAGCATGTTTCTGGCAACTGAAGAGGTATCATTTCTATACAGTCATTTGAAAATGGAGAACTACACATGTGCACACATGTGAAAGGAAAGTCGCATAGCTTCCCACCAGCCAAGAATTTTCAGTCATTCTTACTAATAAGCTGAGGTTCTCAGGACATTCTGGGAATTTTCAGTGCAACCACAGATTACTTTTAGACCTCAATGAGACGTGTACGCTAAGCACCCAAAGAGCTGTTACAAAGTGCCATAATCACCTACTAAAAACCAAGTGTGATTTTCCCACCAAGCTGTCATAGCAAAAAAACCACACTGCACAATTCAGAGCAAAGATGAACACACATTTCCCACTGGACGCTTTCCCAAAAGGAAAAGCTTTTATTAGGAAAAACTTCTTCACCCAAAGGGCAGTCAGGCATTGGAATAGGCTGCCCAGGGCAGGGGTGGAGTCACCTTCCCTGGTGGGATTTAAAAGATGGGTAGATGAGGTGCTGAGGGAGATGGGTTAGAGGTGGAATTGGCAGTGTTGGGTTTATAGCTGGGACTCGGTGATCTTAAAGGTCTTTTCCAACCACTATGATCCTGTGATTCTATGAAAAACTCTCCAAAATCCAACTTGTTTTGTAACTCTTGAGATAAATGAAATAGTGCTGAAGTACTTCCTGAGGGAAGCTCTTCCTTGCTGCCTCAGGAGATGCAGTACCATTTTGTGACCTACCCCGTGCTTCTCACTTGCAGCCTTGCTCTCAAATGTCTGTCTAGGAGATACCGTGGATTTAGACCTGCCAGCCTCAGCTTCTGAGTTTCCAGAGTGATGGACTTATTGTCACCTTACTGTTTTCAAAATTCTTACAGGCCTTTTATAGTATCACAGACCTTTTCACCAGTAAAAGAAGCCCAAGTTCTATCTATGCAGTTAATTCATGTTAAAAGACATCTGACTTCTAACCCCTCTCTAATGCAGAAGCATTCATACTCGACTGCTGAAGCAGATAGCAAGAAGTGGTCCCAAAACAGCCAGAATAAAAATGTGAGCTCAACTGTAAAGATCATGGGTGGAATTAAGCTGCTGAAATTCCAAATATAACAAATTTGGACCTATGCCTCATCCACATCGAAGCCAAAAGCTTTAAAACCTGCTTCTAATTTCAGTCCTATAGAGCCAAATGCTAAAAGAAAATGGTAATTTTTCTATATTATGTGAGCTTATGGGAAGATGGAAAAGTACTGAAGGGATTTATTTTCAAGATATTCACAACAAAGAAGCTGGCAGATATTCAGTTGCCTTCTAAATATTGTCAAAAGTTTTGCTTACTTTATACTATTTTTGTAAGACAAGAGCTTTTCAATGTTTTTATACAGAAAATAAATCTAGAGTGTTTTGCTGTAATTTGAAGTCACAGTAGTCAAACCACAGGCAAGATGTTTTGCATGGGAACATTTAACCAATGGGAGGGGTGGCTTTCAGAAGCAGATTCTGGGTCAGTTCAAAACTGAATTCTTTCCAGATTTATCAGTCTGATGGCTTTATAGATTTTTGCATTTTAATGTATTTCTGATATATAAAGTTGTCCTGATTTTTCTTTACTTATTTATGTCTTTAAAATATTTATACACTCAATTACGTTAGGAAGTCTTGTTCTGAACATCACTATGCAGAACTAGCTGTGTTATAACAGCACAGAAAGCAAGGAAGTAAGAGAGATGTGAATATTAATACGATTTTAAAAAATCACAATCATATATCTTGAAATTCTCATTTGAGTAAAATGTTTGAAAGAAAATAACCCCTCTGAAGATTCATAATCGTAATTATAAATCATTACCTCATCTTCCCCAAAAGCCTCCCTCAATTCAAAATGGAAATAAAACCCTAAAAAAATCTAAATAGTTCCTTTTAATGTACTTTTTCCTCTAATAAGAAGAAAAGTTTCTGAAGACCTTTGAGGCCTTCTTCATGGATT